CAGCAGATAAGAATCTTTAAAACAGCCTACTGCCCTCAGAAAATCAAGGACAGTGTGGGTCGTCCAGGCGATCTCTAAAAGTTTACTTTCCCTTTGATAGGCAAGAAGACAGAAAAGGCAGCAAAAAATTAGCCAGTGATTTTAGCAAGTACTTTGTCAACAAGATACAAAAGATTCGACAAAGCCCAAATGAGAAGTCCATCCATGACAGTTACACAAACGTCATTCCAGATTGTTACGTGACAGTCCCCTGCTACTACATGACATGCAAAACAGTTTCAATGGTGAACCTCTGAAGGATTTGAAACCGTTCTCAGAACTAGAAATCCGGAAAATTATCATTGATTCAAAACCTACGTCCAGTCAACTAGATCCAATTCCAACAAAGATCGTCTTTGATCACCTTGACACTCTACTTCCTGCCATAAAAAAAAGATGATCAACCTTAGTCTTTCATCAGGTGAAGAGTTAAACGTCTCCTCAAGAATCCTGGTCTGAATCCCAATTTGCTTAAAAACTACCGTCTCGTATCAAACCTACCTTTCATCTCGAAAGTGCTTGAGAAGGCGGTTAAAATTCTACTTTCCGAACACCTCGATGCCCATAACCTAGTGGACAAATTCTAGTCCGCATACAGAGCTAATCACAGCACAGAGACTGAATAACTTAGAGTCTTAAATGAACTCCTTTCATCTGCAGACAGAGGTAACGTAAGCGTGCTTGTTCTACTTGATCCGTCTGCAGCATTTGATACCATAGACCACATCAAACTTTTGGACTGTTTACACCATCAGATAGGACAAGAAGGAAATGCTCTCAAATGGTTTACATCATCCTTAGATGGACGGTGTCAGTCAGTCACGGTCAATGAGGCAACATCAGGTAGTTTTGTTCTCTCTTGTGGGGTTCCCCAAGGGTCAGTTCTGGGCCCCATTCTTTTCACACTGTACACTAAAAGTTTGGGTCATATCATCTCTAAGCGACTACTGAGCTACCATTGCTACGCCGATGATACGCAACTGATGAAGAATTTCATGCCATCTGAAACTGAAACAGGGCTTCAAAAAATCGAAGATTGCACCAGAGCCATCAAGTCGTGGACGACTGAGAACCCACTAAAATTAAACGACAACAAGACAGAGGCTTTATTGATTGGTACCCGAACAAATCTTGAGAAAATGAGACTTAACAAGATTCTTGTTGGTGATTCCAATATCGAATTCTCAAAATCATTGACAAATCTTGGCGTTTATCTGGACAGTTGACTAACTATCGAACAAAATGTAAGCCATGTCTCAAAATCCTGCTTCTTTCATCTCCGCGAAATTGGAAGTGTTAGAAATCTACTCACAAAAGAAGCTGCACACACTTTGGCGAGATCTTTAGTTATATCACAGCTTGTCTATTGCAACAGTCTCATGAGTAACATCACAAATGATCAACTCCACAGGCTCCAACGTGTACAAAATTCAGCAGCACTTATCGCCACAAAGACATCAAAATGGACTCCAGAAATACCTGCTCTCATGTCCCTGCACTGGTTACCACTCAAAGCAAGAACTGAATTCAAAATTCTAACCCTGGCCTACAAATGCTACATGGTAACAGACAAATTATATCTCACCGAACTACTGCCTAAATACAAGCCTTCCAGATCTCTCCATTCTCAGAATAACCACCTGTTACAAGTCCCGGAAACCCGTCTCAAAACCTTTGGTCAGAGATCTTTCCAGTTCTGCGCTTACTCGCTATGGAACAAACTACCATCTGATCTTAAGCTATCGCCTTCCGCAACATTGGAAGTGTTTGACATCTACTCACAAAAGAAGCTGCACACACTTTGGCGAGATCTTTAGTTGTATCACGGCTTGACCATTGCAACAGTCTCATGAGTAACATCACAAATGATCAACTCCACAGCCTCCAACGTGTACAAAATTCAGCAGCACGTATCGTCACAAAGACATCAAAATGGACTCCAGTAATACCTGCTCTCATGTCCCTGCACTGGTTACCACTCAAAGCAAGAATTGAAATCAAAATTCTAACCCTAGCCTACAAATGCTACATGGAAACAGCCCCATTATATCTCACCGAACTACTGCCTAAATACAAGCCTTCCAGATATCTCCATTCTCAGAATAACCACCTGTTACAAGTCCTGAAAACCCCTCTCAAAACCTTTGATCAGAGATCTTTCCAGTTCTGCGCTTCCTCGCTATTGAACAAACTACTATCTGATCTTAAGCTATCGCAATCGCTTTCATCCTTTAAGGCTCATCTGAAAACACACCTTTTCACACAACACTATCAACTCTACTCCCCCTTTCATTAGCATTACTTGCTAAAACTATGTAGCGCAGTGAGCATTAACTTGGTGAATGGAATCTGGCGCAGTATAAATGGACTTATTATTATTGTATTTGGAGAAAATTAGTTGTCAGGCATGTAGTGCTATTTAATGTCAGCAGTGGTGAGGAAGTCATTATATTTAGCTCCCCGATTTATGTGTAAAATGTTTTGTGAGGTGTTTGGGCTATATAAGGAGACAAGTGCGTGCCCCTTTTATCTCACATTTAATCTCGTATTTCATATGACATTATCTCACGACCAACTTTTGTGTGAAGATTACTTACCACCCCAAATTCCAAGCCTAGGCATATCGCGGAAGCTTGACCACTGTTGCTGATGAATATTATTATTGCTGAACTTTTAACTTCAAACACTGCCAACATATTGTGCATTTTATACTGACCACTGCTATCATATCATATTTTGCCATTGAACATTGTACTTCCACTCTTTTGTGTATTGCTATTTTAATTGATGTGCAGTACTTTGTATTGATTTGTTTACCTAGTTAATTGTGTTTTGCAGTTGTTGATTGTATACCATTTGTCGTTTGTTTGTTGGTTTCACACTAAATTGGTTAGCATCTTGTTTCAATTTAGGAATCAACACGTAACAGTAACCAGCCACTCACACATCCCTATAAACCAAACAGCAGACCTGGCGGTCAAATAAGCCATACAAAAGAAACAGCCCCGAAACTAAAGTTCCACACAAGTGAGAGCGAGACCACAACATTAGTCAAAAACCCACTAAACTTAAAAAGATTATCTTTCCTTACTTTCATAACTCCCCAATTTCCCATCATCACTATCATGAAACAAACCATCCTACTGAACAAATTTTAGACCCTCCCAAACAAATTCAACTGCCGAATAAGCTCACTATAAAACAACGTTTCCCATTTCGGATCGGGAGCGAAATTCTTAGCCCGGTTTGTCTTCTACGACGTCCGCGCGTTTTAGTTCCAGTATCCAGCCTATGAACAGCTGCCCTCAACCTCAAGGCAACCAAATTCTTTATCGCTATAACACACCATACAGTGGTACATGGAATACGCCAATATGTTCATAATGTATAAGTAGGCAGTAAATACTAGAATACATGAGAAGTGTGAATAAATATATTGTCTTTATTTACATAGCTTCCTTAGTACAGATATATTTTCAATTAAGAATAACTGCTGTAAATCATAACAAATAGGTTTTACATAATAATAACGGTTAAGATACATGTAGCAGTGTCTTTCTGTCAGAGGGTAAGGACATTCAAGTATGTGATGGAATTCATCACCAACTACGAGGTGGCACAATGTACAGGGGGCGGTCGGGTAGCCTAGTGGTTAAAGCGTTCGCTCGTCACGCTGAAGACCCGGGTTCGATTCCCGACATGGGTACAATGTGTAAAGCCCATTTCTGGTGTCCCCCGCCGTGATACTGCTGGAATATTGCTAAAAGCGGCGTAAAACCATACTCACTCCCTCACTATTTCCTCTGGTAATGAGTGATTACAAGTACGAAATTTTGGCAGGTTGACAAAAATCATATATATAGGTTTCTATTCCAGGTTATGGATTTAAAAACGAATAAAGCAGCCCTTTCGTGGAAAGTGTATTGTGCCATCTCTGTAGAAACTGGTCTTTCAGTCTTTCACTCACTAAGGCGACCAGCCATTGTTTACCAGGGGCGGATTGGCTATGACATATATAACTAAAACCACAATCAGCCAGAATACTCTTGATGTACAATAAGCAACTTTGATATAAGCAACTGTTTTGGTTAAACTATTGTAGATAACACAAATTTTCGTTGTCGAATTCAATTATAAGGATTAACTGTGTATTTTCTACTTCTGTTCATAGAGGTACGCGGATTCATACAGTTTGCACATCGGTTTTCGGTTCAATCCCCAATGAACAGAAATAAATACAGTGAATCCTTAAGCACATTAATAGCGACGTGCGTACACCCTCTATGTGTGTGTGTGTGTGTGTGTGTGTGTGTGTGTGTGTGTGTCCGGTTCGGTGTGTGTCCGGTGCGTGTGTGTGTCCGGTGCGTGCGTGTGTGTGTGTCTGCTTGTACTAGTCGGGTTAATGCCGAGTTTATGGTGCTAGCCCACTGATATACATTGCCGGACTTTAATACTGAATACCCAACTCAGACACAGTACACTGACACCAAGCTGACCAGTTCTCGTGTTCGCCCCCTAATGCCGAGCGCCAGGCAAGGTTACAACAAGTTCCATTTGTTGACGTATGCCGGTATGACGCGGACATTCAGCTCTCCTTGTGGAAGCTCTTGTAATTGTAGGAGTGAGTGAGTGAGTGAGTTATTGTTTAACGTCACATGGGCAATATGTCAGCCATATCGTGACGAGAACTGACATAAAATACATATATTCGAATGGAATAAATATCTGACATCGAAGTGAGGTTACATTTATGATACATATATTTAGACTAAATAAAAAGCTGTCAACGATGGACAGTAGAATAACTAGAATATCACAGGCTTGATTTAAAACTAGTTGTGAACATTAAAAAACAGTAAGCATTAATGAACACCACAATATAAAAATGGGCTAGAAATCGTCAGCCACTGAAAGGAGTGTAATTGTAGGAACACCACTACTGCATGTGTAAGCTGACTTACCTTCATAGTAGTGGCGGTCATGTGCACATATGGGAAGGAGAACATTTGTGGCGAGGAACAGGTACAGCAGCAGTACTCCAGGAATCAGCCCCATTTGAAGACTTGTTTTCTCCTTCATTGGAGAGTGTGCTTCCACACTTGATGCTTCACAGACCTCCAGAGAGATTGTCAGCAGGAGTTGTTTCAGTCTGGAGTCAAAATGACAGCTACTAGACCCAATCCTCCAGGGACACGCCTTTTACTATCATATGTCCTTCGTGTCATGAGCTGGATGGGAGTCATGTTCGTCCTAACTTCCTCTTTACAAGCTATGATGTACATGCACATTATATCCATGCAATACATGCATCCACACACCAACTGATTGTATGCCAATATAGTGTAGTTGTGTATGGAGATGCTATGATATCCTGAAATTGATAACATCACATACATGTGGTATCTAATGTCTGCCATAAGTGCAAGTACATCGGGCCCTGTTCACAATATATATTTGAAAAAAATGCGTCAGAGAGATTTCGTTTGACTTAAAGGGCAAGTTCACTCGGAAATTAACCTATTTTTCTTGTACATTTTCCACATTAAAAGTGTTAACCTAGAAGTGTCATAGACAAAAATATAAAAATATCACAATTAATTAACATATTTTTCGCATTAAAACGATTTATATTTTTCACATTTACCAAGTGTTCTATTTCCACAACAAAAACACCATGGCTTATGCCCCTTGCAATATGACGTCATTGGCGCCAATTGATAAACATTATGACGTCATCATGCTTTGTTAGAGCCGCTTCACGTGGTGTAGGCCTAGGTGTGTGATTCTAGCGTCTCAGATGCCAGCCAGCAAAGTGTTATGCTGAGTCACCACTGCGCCGGAGTGTGTCGTAGGCCATGTTGTTTTACCGCAAACTGGTACTTGATATCTTTTGCGTTGAGAATAGACAGGGACCCAGTTGAATTGGCACCAATTACGTCATAATCTAAGGGGGATAACTCAGGCCTGTTTAGCTCGAAAAACGAAGGCCTCATAACGGCATATCATTTTCACACTATTGTGAGCTTCCTACTTTCACTGTGAAAAAAATGAGTGTATATTTTCAAACACAGATACTAACTAATTCTAAAATTGCGTTTTGTTTAGAAAAAGAAAGAAAGTAATTTTTGCGTGTACACTTCCCCTTTAACGAAATGTCAACGATGTGAGCAGTAACTATAGATACAGTAAGGCCCGACTACACACGAGTGTGGGTTTAAGTGTATATTGTCAAGAGACAAGTTAAGTGGTGTTATTCAAAAATTCATGATTGTCAAGTGTCAATGAAGAGGCGGTAAAATCTGCCTCTTTTCCTACCAATGTGTTTTTAACTATCGCCTGTAATACGACAATGTTATCGATAGTGGCGTAATGAGCCCTACAATCATCTCTTATGCATAGCTTCATCGATATTAATGTGCAAAAGCTCATATGAATCGTACAATGACTGGCTAAGTAGGCAATTAAACTGTGTGACAAACCTATTTTCATAATCTTAAGACCACAAATATGTCCGCTGTTCACAAGCTCGTCATGCTCCCCAGTCTTTCCCTCATAGGTCCCACCCAGTCTGGGCAGTATCACACTAAGATTTGTTTGTTTGTTGTTTAACGCCGCACTCGGCAATATTCAAGCTATATGACGACGGTCTGTAAGAAATCGAGTCTGGACCAGACAATCCAGTGGTTGACATCATGAGCATCGATCCACACAATTGGGATCGATGACATGCATCAGACCAAACTGAAACCGGTTGCAAATTTTTTACTGCGCATGAATATTGATATATGCCCAAATATGGGCATTGTTGACATTTCTGTGCATATGCATTAACAACATGTTCCTGCTGTTGTGTTTGCAAACATAGTGAGTGAGTGAGTGAGTTAAAATTTTAAGTCACATCGGCAATATTTCAGCCATATCGTGACTATCAATAGTTAAACATTATACATATATTAAAACTTGTATAACAACCTGCCAACGAAGGACAGTTAAATTACTAGATTCATCACAAAAAAAAGATATAAAACTAGTACGGAATTATAAAAGAGAATAGCACTATACATAACGATACAAGATAAAAACAGGCTATAGATCGCCAGCAGACATACACTGTGAAGCATCAAGTGCCCCCCTCATACACTGATGGGTTCGAATCCCAGTTCGCCTTCATTATTTCTATCATTGTCAGCACTATACCCGTGCCCTTCAGGCTTTCCCCCAACATCAAGCTGACACGCCGTGGTATACCAAAAGTACTGCTCAAAGCGGCGTTAAACAAACGCTAACTCACTCATGGCTCTGAAATTTCGGTTTAGAATAGGTCGTGCTTGGCAATCAAACGAATCAAGCGACTTGGTTGATTGCGTGTCATTCCCGACGGCGGGGACAAATGCTAATGATGTCAATCACTGCATTGTCTGGTCCGGACTCTTTATTATTTGCATTATTTGATTGGCTTGATTGGTAATATTGATGACTCCTGAGTGTTGGGCATGAATAGATCTCTTTCATGGCTCAAGTTTCCCTGTATACACTTTGAGCACATGGACATGTGTTACATAAGCCTTACAACTAAAAGAACTACAGAGGCTTATATGGCTTCCTTGCATGATACATATGCCTGTGTTGAAATGAGTCCACATTGGCTTCGGTTCGGTGAGATGAACTCGGGTTTAACGTCGCGTCCAAGATTATTGCACTTATAAAGCGGCGTGCATGCACGTGCGCGCGGGGGTGTCTGTGTGTGTGTGGCTGCTTGTGCTAGTCCGGACTGATGCTGGTTTAAAGTTCTAGCTCACTGAGATACCATGCCGCAGTTTAACATGAATACCCCACTCAGACACAGTATACTGACTCCGAGCCGACCAGTCCTTGTTTAAGCTCCTTAATGCCGAGTGGCAGACAGGGTAACAACAAGTACCATCTTTTAACGTCTTTTGGTATGACGCGGCCGGGGATTGAACCCCGGACCTTCCTCTCCGGGCGGACGCTCCACCACTAGACCACGGAGGCGGTCTCCGATAGAGTAACTGCCCTTTATCAAAGTTGCAAAAACTTGTAAAATGTGCCTCAGCTACGTCACAGTTAGACACTGATTTTTGGTATATTAGACTATTATTTTCATGATGATAGCAATTATCCCAGTAGTTTCTCCAGAATCCCGATGGTTAATTCTGACTCGATCGCCGAATGACAAGGGCTGCGCCATGTTTGTTTATGAACAGTGAGTGAGTGAGTGAGTGAGTTAAAATTTACGTCACATCGGCTGTATTTCAGCCATGAATTAAATGAAAACTTAGATTACAAAGATCCTTTACGGATGAAACCGTGAATTAATTATCCCTTGTGATGGCAAAATCAATAGTCAAGCAAGACATGCTTGCCTGTAATTCTTTCATGACAACATGAAGGATACAAAAATTTCAATAAATATTCATGTGTACAGCGAGAGTGGCCAACGCGACTTCGCCTGAGTATGTCTGTGGCGATATGACACAATTGCCTTCGTTTGTTAACTGTGTTTAATTACTGTAAGTGTAGCTGTGTACAAGAGTGCGCCTGACCTCCTGGATGAGGCCAATTTAATAAAGTGACAGTGCTTTCCACTTTTTTAGAGTAAACATACATTTGATACTCAGTGTCTTTTCTGTCTGACACAATGTCAATTTCAATCTACTGAACTGTTAACTACTAACATGAAGCAATAATGTTTCTTAACTGACTACTGTTCATTTTTCTACATATCAAGTCTGTCAGGTTTAACTGAAACCCTTCCGGATCTGGTCAGAGTCACATCAGGTGGAATGTCAAGCTGCACACTTGATGGCACACCAGGCAAAATATTCATGGGCTGTGACCTGGCGTCTGTGTTTATTGGCTGTTTTTCTGGCACAGGAGTGAGGACTGGTGTCTACGATTCCTGCGCAGAATGCTGTCACCTGCCTTGACGTAGAATGATCCTGAGTTTCAGCCTCCCTGTGAATTTGACCTTCTCTGATGAAATGTGTGATCTGTGACGAGAGTGATAGTTCGATTTTTGACGCTGTTGGATTTTGGTAAACGATGACTTCACTTCCTGTGAAGAAGGCTGATTAGACTGAAGTTGAGATGTATGAACTTGGAGTGTTGTCCGCAAGTTGCGTCCCATCAAGAGCTGAGAAGGGCCGAAACCATTCTGTGACGGTGTACTATAGGTGAGTGCCATGTAAGAATCAGATGATTTCTTCAAAAGTTGCTTCACAGTTTGAACTGCTCTCTCTGCCTCACAATTACTTTTGGGGTACTTTGGGCTACTTGTGATATGAGTGACGAAATAGATCTCGAAAAAATTCTGAAAGACATAGGACGAGTACTGTGGAAATCACAAAGTCCGGAATACCATGTCTTGTGAAAATAGATTTCAGATGGTTTACATTACATGGGTCAATACAACACAACAGTGTCTCGCTACTGTGATACATTGTATGGGTGAATACAACACAACAGTGTCTCGCTACTGGGATACATAATATGGGTAAATACAACACAACAGTGTCTCGCTACTGGGATACATAATATGGGTAAATACAACACAACAGTGTCTCGCTACTGGGATACATAATATGGGTGAATACAACACAACAGTGTCTCGCTACTGGGATACATAATATGGGTAAATACAACACAGCAGTGTCTCGCTACTGGGATACATTATATTGGTGGATACAACACAACAGTGTCTCGCTACTGGGATACATAATATGGGCATATACAACACAGCAGTGTCTCGCTACAGGGATACATTATATTGGTGGATACAACACAACAGTGTCTCGCTACTGGGATACATAATATGGGCATATACAACACAGCAGTGTCTCGCTACAGGGATACATTATATACGTAAATACAACACAGCAGTGTCTCGCTACTGGGATACATTATATTGGTGGATACAACACAACAGTGTCTCGCTACTGGGATACATAATATGGGCATATACAACACAGCAGTGTCTCGCTACAGGGATACATTATATTGGTGGATACAACACAACAGTGTCTCGCTACTGGGATACATAATATGGGCATATACAACACAGCAGTGTCTCGCTACAGGGATACATTATATTGGTGGATACAACACAACAGTGTCTCGCTACTGGGATACATAATATGGGCATATACAACACAACAGTGTCTCGCTACAGGGATACATAATATGGGCATATACAACACAGCAGTGTCTCGCTACAGGGATACATAATATGGGCATATACAACACAACAGTGTCTCGCTACAGGGATACATAATATGGGCATA